ATTACTTATAATTAATATATTTTTATTATAAGAATAATTAGAACAAAATTACATATAAAAAAGAAACTTATCAAGTTGATTCTTACATAATAACCAACAAAATATTATGGAAAGTGTCTTTATTAGTTTTATTAGTAGCAATTTTGCAACAGCTACATAACAACTCCCCTTTAACTGTCCTGGGTAACATATATTAGCTGACCCAGCATGGTAAGTTACTATAGTGCAATGTTATCCTAACTGGAATATTAAATAAATATTCCAAGTACATTATTCAAATTAACATATTCAGATGCTAGTAAATATTCCTATATGGCAGAAATCTTTAAAATACATTCCCTGACCTGTTGGTGCTTATTTAATAAATACAAGTATTTATTGTATTAATAAATATAAGTATTTTATACAAAAAGTTGGTAACAAAAAGTTATCAGCAGATTCAAAGTGCTCTGTAGTATCGAAGCCACTGCATAGTGTTTCCTCTACACTGACCGGTGTAGTTTTCCTTTTCTATTTTCTTCTTTAATATCTACTGTGTATTTCGGCATCACTGAGTAGTCCTCTAAAAATGCATGTTATTCTACACGGTTTGTATTTTATCTTCATTTTTAAAATTAAGGCCAATATTTAATTCTTAACATCACCTATTTTTTAATAAATATGTATTTAGTCATTAAACAACTGTGGCTATTTTATCAAAAAGAATTCTAAGGTCAAATTTTCAACATGTCTACTGCATACCAGCAATATGATAACATTTCTCCTTGCACAAATTTCTGCTTACCTGCCTGTGATATGAAACAACTGACTAGAATCTCAATTGCATCTCAAGTTTGAAGAAAATGTTGTATTGCCCAAGTAACTTAGTGCCATAGTAGGGACTAATTCAGAAGGACATGAACCTCAGAAAGTAGAGACTCACAGCTGCGCTAATCCCCCAGAAGTTCATGTCCTTCTGAATTAGTCTCTAGTACGGAAGTGTTGTGCTTTAAAATATTGCCTCATGTTTGCAGAACATTTTACAATATTCAAAGCATTTTCACTCACTTCACTGGACCTTTGAAACCATCCACACTGTTTGTCAATGAAGACTGACATGTTGCCTCAGAGAAAATGGTTGGAGCCCAGACTAAAGAGCAAACCTCCTCAAAGGCGATACTTTTGTGCCTTATGTCATATGATGGGGAACAATACATTTCAATTGTTTGTTTATATAAATTCCACATACAAGTGTAATGATCATTTAGTAGGACAAAGTTCTAGATGGGCAAGTTACCTGTGAGAATTTATTGTAAAAGCAAAACCTTTATTTGCTTAATGGGACAATAAGATCATGGATAGTTAAATTACCTATGTGAAAGAATTTCTATCTAGCATGGAAATAGTGCAGGTTCATAGTGTGTAAGACTTAGATGCTAGTCAAGAGCATTTTAGTGATTGATGCAAGAGTGTCATACCCCTGAGGTGGTCCTAAAGGTCTGTAGGATTTTGACAAGGAGCTCATTCTGAGCATCTGCCCAAACATCCTAACTACAAAATCTCTTCAAGAACTCTGCCTTAACATAAATATTATTATGCCACCTACAGCTGAACTTGGCCTATCTTAACTCCACAAGAGTCTCTTAACAAATAACATAAAGCTATCTTGCCAGGCTGCGAACAGTAATCCTATTAGCAATTGAAAACACTTAATACTCTTTTAATACATTCTTTTTCCCTCTGGGCTGGAATTCATCCTGTCCAACTCTATGCATCTGCAGGGTCCTCTCAGACTAATAATTTCTCCTCAACTTCCCAAAAAGGATTAATGGCTCACATCTATAGTGGGCTGGGATGGATAACCAGACCTAATCACAAGTTACCAAACAGCTGGCTCAGCCCAGCACCAAGCTCCATCTTCTAAAGTCTCCAAATTCTCAAACCTATGACTGTGTCTCATTTACTCATTCTCAAAATCTCCCCAAGTGGCATGGGCATCGCCATACACCTTAGAACTAGCCAATCATCTTATCTGACCTTCTGGGACGGAGTTCTTTCTAATTACCACATACTCCACAGAATTCCTGAACAGCCACTAAAACTTCTCCAGCTGTGAGGCTCATCTTATCTGACCTTCTGGGACGGAGCTCTTTCTAATTACCACATACTCCACAGAATTCCTGAACAGCCACTAAAACTTCTTCAGCTGTGAGGCTCCATTTTTGTCTTACCCTCACAATGGTAAAACCAGGGTTTGTGTTCTAGCTTTCCGTAACTATAACAAATAACTGAGCTATATAAATGTAGAAGGAGGAAAGGTTTATTTTGTCTCATGTTTTCCAATATTTGGGTGCTTAGCCACTCGGCTCTGTTGCTTTCAACTGTGATGGTACAGCAGCACATCAAGGTAAAATTGTGTGTCAGAGATGGTTGCTCGCTTCATGGTGGAAAGGAAGAGAAAGAGAGTAACAGGAAAGGCCCAGCACCTCCATATGCTCTTGAATGGCACATTCCCCAGTGACCTAACTTAGGTCCATTAGGCCTCACCTCCTAAAAATTCTACCAACCTCACAACAAGAAGTACCAAAGGGCAAGCTTTCTACAACATGAGCCTTTGGGGGACGGACATTCACGATCCAAATTACAGCAACTAGTACAGTTGATGTAACCTCTGCTGTGTGCTATGTGTGTAACAGCACAACCCAAGGTTAGTACATGCTGTGCAAACAATATCAATAATGTTTAAGCGAGGCCTCCTTTCTCTGGTAGAGTCAATTATTTAGGCAATACAGCAAAATGAAAAAAAATTATGGCAGATCCCATTTCCTTACAGGACTGAAAAGAGTCTCTGAAGTTGTTGTAAAAAGCCTGGCAGATTTTATGACAAATTCTGCAATTTAAAGAGAGTTTATTTTTTCTTCCAATGTCTGACTGACATCAGAACTGCAAAAGCAAACTGGACTCCATTTTTCTCATCCCAGCAGGACAACCGCTCTGCAGGAAAGAAATTATCATCATGAATCAACTGTAAAACACACAACCATTCTCACTGATTGAGAGAGGCAGCATTCATGCTGAAATAGGGTCACCCCAGACACTGGAAATGGAAGAACACAGGCAAAGAGGAAGCTAAGTCAGACCCCAGTTAGCATTCTAAATGATTCATAGCAGGGGGTGGACAGATAGGAGGCTCCCCTTGGGTCAATGTTTGGGATTTCTTTGCATTTCTGGTTGGATATGATTTTAGGTCTAAATGAAAACCAACAGATTGAAGATAAGAAACAAATTAGTCAACTACAAATCCCTAAAGAGAAAAGGAATCCACTTGGATTTATGTGTTATTGTACTTGGTTGTTCATTTTCAATTTGTTTATACTTTTATTTTTTGTATTATCTTAATTGTTTACTTACACAGGAAAAAAACTGCTAACCCAAAGATCGTACTCATTTAAATTAAGGTACTTTAAAAACAGAATTTTAGTTTATTTTTTATAGCAGTATTGTAAGACATTATCCCTATGAAATAATAAGGATTCCACATTACCTGTTATCATGGCAGAAAACATCTAAAGATTCTCAACCACGATCTTCATTTGCTTTCTAGTCTTAAAACAAAAGTCTTCTATCATAAAACTCATAACATTTTTCATCTTGAATAGATTTTAAACCCAAATCTTAGAGATTTCCTTCATTTTAGAAATGAAGAGACAAAAATGTAGAGATTAGGTAAACTTAAAATAAAATTCAACTTCAAGCCCCTAGTTTAAGAGTCTAAAAATAATATCACAGCACATATAATCCTTTATTTTCTCAAGGATTCATGTTCTGTACTTGCGGACCTAAATCAAGACAGGAAAAAGAACTGTGGTTCACAAATTCTAAAGAAACAAAGCTTGGGGGTGTACAACATTCATTGCTTCCACCACAGATTTTTCAGGTCGAGATTAAGCCAGATAGCTGCCATCTTGAATATGTGTTAAAGTAAGAATGAAAGCACTTCAGAATCGATTAAGGTCCTTCAGCAATAGCTAGGAAGATGGCCACTGTGGTTCCCTTCAGTGAGAAGAAATCCAGCATGTAACTTCAACATCTATTTTAAGTTGATTAGTGAGCAAAGTACATGTACCTCCCAGCCTTCAATGTGTGACTGCCACTCCTCTAACACTTCCAGCTTCTCCATCTGTCTCTTGGCCTCATTTATGTTGGAACAGACAGCTTTCATGGCTTGGAGGGCTTCCATCACTGCCGAGTAGTCACTGTGCTTCCTTGGGGTCCGCTTCAGCAACTCCTGTTTATCAAAATACAAATCGCTCTTTGATCTCCAATTCTGTGGTACAGCAGGTTCAGACAGACCAGGAAATGACAACTACAAAAATTGTGAGAGGCACTCTGCTGAGTGACATCACAAACTCCAAGATAGAGATCAAAAGCAAAAGGTCGGTGAGTAAGCGTTGCTCTAATACACATTTTATCAACCACTGTAATTCCTCCCTAAAACTTACTTCGCTTTTAAAAATGGAATTTTGTTTCTTCTTTCAAATCATCAAACACTTTACCTGAATCTTGTCATTTTTTAAAATATAAATTTGATTTTTGTTCTAACAGAAGCACATTAATATATGCTAATTTCATTTTTCTTAGATTGTTTAATAGAACAAATCGTCAAATAAACACATACCATAATTTCAAAAATAAGCTAAATTAATTTCTAACATCTTTTGAGAAACTATAAAAGTATCTCACAAAACAAAACTTGTGTATGTCTTATATTCTAGAAAAATAATGAACACATTTTACCACATTCCATCATTAAAGGAGTAATTCCTGCCATCTTCATCAATTACTCAGGCTCATTATCTGTGATAAATGAAACTTGATGTACCCAATAGCTTCCCTATTTGAGTTTTAGTTAATTGGGGGAGTCATTTTATTGCCATTCCAGACATCAAAAGCAGAATAATTTGTAATCATTTGAATATATCAAAAGGTCTTGTTAGCTGTTGTTTAGAAACACAAAATTAAACAACCTCACCCACTGTCTAGACAGTTGTGACCACAATACTTTTTAATTAGTCATTTGTTTCTTTATGACAGTCACCATCATCATGAAGCTAACACAATTATAGACACATCTGAAGTATAACTTCATGAAAATTTTTTTTGTTTCTCAGGATGAAGTAGGAAAGCAAGAGGTTCTTATATGCACTTGAGTTTCTCTTACATAACCCCAGTGCTGGGGCTAGGAGCAAGAGACAGGAGGATTCATGAAAAATGAAACAGGCTGGCCATCCTAGCCAAATAGATAAGTTTCAGGTTCAATGAGAGACTTTGTCTCAAAACCAAAGGTGGAGAGCAATTAAGGAAAAAGCATCCTAGGTCAGTCTCTGGCTTCCACATGTATACACACAAATGTGCATGCATACACACACACACATACCTACACTAACAAGAACATACAATGCACACATCACAACACATACATTTATAAACACACACAAAAATATACAAGATAGTTAATTTGTGTAGTTGATAGAAGTTGAAACAAAAATTTATTTCTAGTTCTTATTTATAATATTTATAAAGTAAATCAATGTGAACACCATTTTACATATCAATAGTGTTTGATAGTATTTTTTAAAGGTTAGATGCCATCTATAATTATTTAAATATATCAGAATCAAATAGCTATAAACAATAATGGATATTCGGAGCACATAGTTAGAGCTGCGCTAAAGACAGATATAAAAAAGCTAAATTAATCACCATTACACAGTCCTATGTGTATGCATGTGAATGTATATTCATGTATTTATATACAGATGCATACATATATACATTATTGTATATATAAGTTCTGATTTCATTATCATCCTCCTCATCATCATCTCTGTTTTATAACTGAAAAATAAAGGCTTTTTAACAGTTAGATTACACACCTTAGAGAGTTAGTAGGTAGAACACCTGTGATTTGAACTCAGGACTTGTGTGTTCAACCCCATTCCAAATTTCCTATTCTAATGTTACAATTACAAAAGCTATACTTTAAAATTTGCTGCTACTATATGATGATACAGTGTCATAATAAAAGTCCTGGTTACTGCCATAAAATGATAGACCTAGAACTATTATTGTGTGATTTCCTATCTGTAATTCTCAGTGTTTTCATGTTCTATCATTGATTGCCCCATGTGGCTCACACCATTCACTTACAATAATGATTTAAAAGCCAAGTTCTGAAATTATGTAGTTTTGCCTTTAACTTCATTAGCACCAGGTCACCAAAGTTTGCAGAAATAAAAATATAGCAACAGTGGACTTAGTTAAATAAATAGCTCTGTGGCTAAAGTGCTATGTAAACCAGTCACAATGCATTTAATGGGGTCTCTTTTGAAACTAATGCATTTACTCTAAATGAAATTCAAACAAGTACGTCTGTTGCAAAGAGCACTAAAAGCCTCCTTTTGTGGCTTTTCTTTTGAAGATTTGTTTGCTATTCCATACACGAATTTATGACAAAACAGTCATTTTTTCCAGTAATTATGATCTGGATTTTGTTTTAGAATGTTAGTCTTTAAATGATAAGTTTTAAACCACCAGCAAAATATTAAGATCCAAAGAAAATACTCCAATGATAGCACATAAAATACCTTCAAAAGGAGAGGGTACTTGCATATTCTCTGTATGGGTGTGACTAGATATCCTTCCAGGGGAACATCTGCGTTCTTCTGTCCTCCAAGCAGCATGCAGTTCTGGGGGGTGAGGGGCAAGCAACATAAATAAGTACATTTTTCAGAACTGAGGTTGTGAAACTGTTCTGTCATAAAATTTCATGCTGAAAAGTTGTGAAAACACGTGTCTGTCTAATACTGTCTTTCTCTAAGATGAGCATCTGTTTTGCATCACATTCATGACGGTTATGAAACCCAAAAAAACCTATAGCTTAAAATTAATTCACTTACATTTCCTTAGCACAGAGGAAAAGAGAGGGGGAGGAGGAGAGGAGAGAGAGAGAGAGGAAGAAGAAGAAGGGGAGGGAGGGAGAGGGAGCAAGAAAGGGAGGGAGAAGAAATAGAGAGACATATTTTGTTCATAAAATAAATGCACTGTGTTGTAGAAAAGCAGACATGAGACCATGGGTTCCAACTTGTAAGTCAGGCTCTGCTGTCTACTAGCAACACAACTTGAACTGATTCCAGAATTTGAGTTTTCCTCTCAAGGTGACAGGCTTTTACCAGGTGATTTCTAAGCCTTTTTCATATTTATTTTTATGTATTTTTATATATTTATTTATTTGGTCTTTTGAAACAGGGTCTTCCTGTAGCTATAGCTAGCCTAGAACTCACTATGTAGACCGGGCTGGCCTTGATCTCACAGAGATCCGCCTGCCTCTGCCTCTCAAGTGCTGAGATTAAAGACGTGCACCACCATGCTCAGTTATTTTTATTTTTTAATCACACTTCACCAAGAACACTGTGGCAGACAGAAGAGGACACATAGGATCTCCACAGAGCAAGGTGAATGGAGAGATCTCAGAATCAGCAATCAAAGGAGGTGGCAATGAAGCTATTTCTAGCTCACTGTAAAGTGGCAGTGGAGAGAAAAACCATTCTAGTCAATGGCCTTCAGCATTCTAAACAAAACTATTAAAACTTGAAACCTGAAAAAAAAATCTTATTTCTGCATTGTTTACCAGTGTGATCAATCAGAAGTGTATTTAATATAAACATCTAACAGAAAGAGGACAGGACCTTCAAATTACACACTAATATGTAAGCACCTTCTACATCCCTACTTCAAAATACTCTTCCATGTAAATGGAGAGGAGAAGCCAAGCGCTGAGAGGAAATGATGCAAAAGGTGGACCAATGGTCCAATGCCCCGCACTGGCAGCAAAGTTTCAACCCCAATATGTGTATCTAGCTAGAAGGTAACTTCACTTAGGCAGCACAGAAGGCAGAATGGCCAATATTCTTTCAAATTACATATATTTTCCTCCACAGAAATCCTTAAAGATATAGATATCAGTCATATTCCCTCCCCAAAGCTCAAGGATCATAGAAGGGGAGGAGACAGAAGGACTGCAAGAGCCAGGACAAAACAGTGCCTTCTGGACAGGACGGGACCACTGCGCTCATGAACTCACTGCAGCTTGGTTACCTGCATAGATCTGCACAAGATCAAGCCAGTCAACATTCCAGCATGTAGAGGTAAGGGATTCATGAGCCCCAACCCCTAACTGAACAGTTATGTTCAGTTGATTGCTTCTGAGGGAAGGAGAGTAAGTTTTAACAATGTGGCTCCAGGTAGATGGACCACACTCCAGTGGATGGCCCCACACCCAGGAATGCATGCGCAGCACAAATTGGAAATTATGGGTTATTTAAATTTTTTTTTTTAAAAAAGGAGAGCACAAAGTTTGGGGAAAGGAAGGTGAGGATGTATCTGGGAGGAGTTAAGGGGAGAAGCTGGGGTATCTATGATCAAAATACATTGTATGAAATTCTCAAAAAGTAAGGTATTTATAAAACAGTTATCTTCATCTTATGTCAGCAATATTTCGGTGTTTCAGCATGCATGAACTTGGAAATGTAGTCTCTTTCACAGAGCTCTGGGCTAAAGGGTCCTGAAAGTTCCTAGATAAGGTTTGAATTTTAGTTTTCTGTTTTCATGTATGTGCATGTATGTATGCATGTTTACATGTGTGTGGACACATACATGTGGGTGTGCATGCATGTGGATGCATTTGAATGTGGAGGGCCAACGCCCATTTCCAGAATCATGTTCAGTCACTTTTTCCTCTTATTCAATGAGACAGAGTCTCTCAATCAAACCCAGAGCTAACTGATGAAGGCTAGTCATCCTAGCCAGCTTGCTCTGAGGGTCCCATGTCTCCATCTTCCAAGGCTCATACAGTATTTACATGGATTCTGGGGATCTGAACTCTGTACTAATGCTTGTGTAGTAACCACTTACTTGTGTGCTTAACAGCTGAGTCATCTCCCTATCTTCTCTTTTTTAATTGCTTACACAGTTTAGAAAGCAAATTTGCTTCAGGATAACAGTTGTTCTCCACTTTAGGCTGGTTTAGGACAGCAAACTCTGTCCTTATGTATTCATAAGGATGTCTACTGAATAAGCTTCCAGGGTATACAATGGTGCTAACTTATTGGGGAGGGTAGCGTAAGCAAGGTTCTAAGCTTATTATACCATCGCCCCAAATCTGAAAAGTTCTTGATGTTTTCCAAAGATAATTGCTATTATTCCTATTTTATGAATAAGGAAAATCACAGCAGAAATATAATGAATATCCTAAAGTCTTCCAGATAAACTATGGCCACTTAGCGCCAGGGTAGGAACTATCCAGGCAGAAACTGACTGCTAGACTATGCTGTGGGGCACCTAATCCCACAATCTTGACTTGTTACTTTCTTGTTGGGGCTTCACACAAGTCACTAGGCAAACTGCACTAAGGAGCATCCCAAGTGAACACAACTGGAGACAAAATGCATTAAATAAGGCAGCAAAGTTCCTAAACTTCACAAAGAACTCCAAAATTTCAACAGAATAGGGGCTTCTTCTGGCCTTGGCAGAAAAAGAGATCAATAAAGCCTATAATACTGGCCAGAACTGCCAAGAGGACTGGCTTCCTACCTCTGGAAATCAAATATCAAATAGTAATTGAAACTGCTACTTCGTGAAAAACGGCAGGACTTGATGTGGAGCTGTGGGAATCTAAGGCATCCTTACCTGGGCGTCTCCTCATTCCCCCTATTCCTATACTGGAAGAGTTATGGTTAGAGAGTTAGTAGGTAGAATACCTGTGATTTGAACTCAGATGGATATACTGGAGGTGACATCATCACAGCACCATTAGCTCTGAAAATTGCTGAAGAGGACTGCAGGGAGCTACAGTCAGAAAAAGACTCACACCAAGGAGCACTGTCAAAAAAACACTAGCACATTCCATATGCAAAATGGAAAATGCCCACAGTGCTAGCCTGAGACTGCAGTCCTGCATAGAGCCTTCGAGCATATTAGCTAGTAATTTAACAGATAATCTAGAAAGCTATGGATGGCCCAGACAGACTGAATTTATCTTTGATTACTGGGAAGGCTTGAAAAGCTCCCCTGGGAAAAGAACACTTAGTCTCTTTGCAAATCACCTGGCCCCCATACCTACACTCCTGTGGATTCATGGACAAAACAAGATAGCCCTAACAAACTGAAGCTCACAGAAAAAACAAAATCTCAAAAAGCAAGGCTAAATAATGAAAATAAACTTAGCCATGGTATCATCAGCTGAGAGACAGGAACTCGGTTACGTCTAGGTAAATTATTGAAAACAGTACAGATCAAACAAAACACACGCAAAATATCAATCACCATAGAGGCAAGTGGATCTCTATGAGTTCAAGGCCAGCCTGGTCTCCACAGCGAATCCAGGCCAGGTGGGGCTACAGGGAGACCCTATCTCAAAAAAACAAAAAAAAAAAAAAAAAAAAAAAAAAAAAAAAAAAAACAGCAACCAATCTCAAGGAGAAAACACAGATTCCAGAGTTGTTATAGTAAGTTATTAAAAACAACTTTTTATTTAAATTCTTAATTTAAAAATTATGAGATATACAAAGTAACAGGAAATGTGACTCAATCATAGTCAATAAAAGCTCTTGAGTGTACCCGGATGTGGATTTAACAAAGATTTCAAAATAGCTATTGTAAGTATGTTCAAAAAATTTTAAATCCTGCTTAAAGAGCTGACACTACACTGACAGTTAAGAAACAAATAGGAAACCTCTATAGGGAAAAGCTATGAAGCCAAATCTAGTAGACGTGAGATGAAAAAAAAATTCGATTGATTTAAAGATAAATCAACAGAAATCCAATCTGAAAACAGAAAAGAAAAAAAAAAGATTTTAGAAAGACGAATGATTATGAGGAAACAACGGGGAACATTAAAGCTATAAAACATGTATAGGGGCTGGAGAGATGGCTCAGTGGTTAAGAGCACTGGATGCTCTTGCAGAAGACTCAATTTCAAAACCCAGAATCTACATAGTGGCTAATAGCCATCTGTAACTCCAGTTCCAAGGGATCTAACACCCTCCTCTGTCACCTGTGGGTGCTGCATGACATGAGTGCATTTACATACACGCAGGCATAACACTTATATACATAAAAAATAAAAATAGAGGCTGGAGAGATGGTTCAGGGTTTAAGATCACTAAATGCTCTGGTAGAGGACCCAAGATTACCAGCACCCGCGTGGCGGCTAAAAACCATGTGTGACCCCAGTTCCAGGGGATCTAACTCCCTCTTCTGACCTCTGTGGACACTGCATGGCATGGGTGCACTTACATGCATGCAGGCAATACACTCACATTAAAACAAAATAAAATTTTTATTAAATAAATAAATAAAGTAAAACATTTGTGTAAAGAGTCACTAAAGAAGAGAACAGATAAAATAAATATTTTTAATGGCTAAAAACTTCACAAATTTTGTTTTAACATGAAACCTTGCAGTCTCACCATGCTGCCCAAGCAGGTCTCAGACTCCTGGGTTCAAGAGTCCCTTCCACCTCCTCCTTATGAGGAGGTGGGATGACAGCCACATGTCACTGTGCTGTGCTAAAACTTCTCAAATTTGATTTTAAAAAACCCTATCTTCAAGTAAAAAGCAAAGTTATACCCACATCTGACTACAGCATAGTTGTACTATGGAAGGGCAAAGTATTGGCAGTATGCAGAATATATAAGCAGTACCTTTAAGAGATGCACTCTCATCCGGACACAGTGGAAGACATACAGCAGTGGGGTTATAAATTCAAACTGATAAAAAGAAGAGACTACAATCAAGAGTTCTATCAATAGAACTGTCCTTCAAAGATATTCTCCCAGCTAAGCAAAGGCTCCGTGAACTTGTTCCTAGTAGAAATGACTTAAAGGAAAAATTAAGATTGTTTTTCAGAGTGAAAGGTTGTCATAATCACAGCCAAAAACACAGGAACAGGTAAGAGGCAAGAAATGGCAGCAAATATAAAACACTGTAGAAAAGTAGAGAATGCAAAATTGTAACACACTGCTGAGTCGTACATAGAATAGACAACAATAATGGTACAACCGAGGAGAGAGAGGAGGAATGTTTTCCATTTCCACATAGGACACACTACAGCAGTTTCCCCTGTATCATATTGGAATTAAGTCAGTATTAATATAAAACGAACATGGTAAAGAAAGGAAGCACCAGGTATTGGCTGTCTACCAGAAACATTTCAAAAATCATAAACAGTCCCTCAATAAGAGATAAAGACAGAATTTCAAACACTAAGAAGAGTTATCATAGCTATGATAACATAAGGAAAACAGACTGTCAGAAGAAAGATTATTCAAGATTAAGGTGATATTTCATAAGGAAAAACAGAACTATGAACTTGGGTATTGTCATTGTTTCTTCAGTTCTTTTTATTGCTTCAAGAAATCTCTGACAGCCTTGTTTTGTGGACATGAATTCTTTCAGCCTATTTATGTCATGGAAGATTTTTCTTTCCCCTTCGACTATAATAGACATTTTGGCTGGGTAAAGTAATGTGGGTTGGCATCTGACAGCCATCATGAATACATACGTACCTAACAACAGAGCCCCAAAATATATAAAGCGAAATTTGACAAAATTAAAGCTATAAAAGATAATAATTATACTGGGACTCAATATCCACCTTTCTAACTGGATAATGAATACTGTAAATAATAATTCACTTTAATGTTTTATCTAAATCATATTCATATCATATATATGGTTGAGTCACAGCTTTCAATGCTTAAAGAAGGGCTGAGGATACGATTCAGTGGGAACTGGGGATGTTGATCAGTGATAAGGTACTTGCCTACCATCCATTAAGCCCTGGGTTCAATTCCCATTGTTGAGGAAGGAAAGATGAGAAGAAGGGAGGAATGGAGGGAGTAGGGGGAAACGTGGGAGGGAAGGACATAATGAAAACTCTCAAAACTAGGAATATAATGAAAACAATAAATAACATTTACCAAAAAAAAAAACTACAGCTTGCAAAGTCTGTTTCCCCCTCAGACTGCCAATAGGGCAAGGGTAGCTGCTCTTAGCACTTCTAATCAGCATTTTACAAAAGGGTTTAAATCTTTCAGTAAGGCAAGGAAAGAACGAAGTAAAACCGCCTTTATTCCAGTAACAACGTCCTGGAAACAGAATACCCTGAGTCCACAAAAGGAACTAACACATGAACAACCCCCAAATGATATAATCAACCAATACGAAGATAACTCCAAGCACAAGGGAACCAAGAGAATAAAACATTTTTTTAAAAACTTGAAAAAAAGCACAAGACCTGAGTACAGATTTCTGATATATGACAAGAAAAGTGGGGCTGTGGTGAAAAATAATAAATTGAATTGCATGGAAATTTAAAGCTTCTGATTTTCTAAAGGCGATACTTTTTAAAAAACGAACAAGACTGGAAAGAAATATTTGTAATATATTCGGTAAAGAACTTGAAATCTTAAAAAAGGTCGCACACAGATCAATATAGGATTAACATTCCAATTTAAAAATACACAAAAGATGTGAATAAACATATCACTAAAGAAGATTATATGTATGGTTAATAAGCACATGAAAGCATGCTTACTTTCAAATTCAGGCCACAATGTAGTATAACAACAGACCCACTAGCATGGCTATAAGCAGAAAATGGATAACACCAAGTATTGGCAAGATTTAGACAATCTGGGATTTCAGTGAAGGTCTAATAAAGTTGGCCCAGCCATGCTGGCAAACAGACTGGCATCTTCTTAGTTAAATTTAACAGGTTAACCACGAATTTCACTCTTAGTTTCTACCCAAGAGAATTAAAATTTATGTCTACACACAGACTTGGGCATGAATGTTCATAATAGCATTATTTATAATAAACATTATAAACCAGAGTCAGAGATAATGTCCATTAAGGGATAAAAAAATGAATAAAACATGCTACATCTATATAATGGAATACTATTTAGTAATAATGAAAGTCAAATGAGGGACTAGAGAAATGGCTCAGTGGTTTAGAGCACTGGCTACTCTTGCAGAAGACCCAGGTTCAGTTCCCAGCACCCACACAGCAGCTAACAACCATCTGCAACTCCAGTTCCAGGGGACCTGTCACCCTCTTCCGACCTCTGCAGGCACTGCATGACATGGGTGTACTTATACACATGCAGGCAATACAACTATAAATATAAAATAAAAATAATAATGTATTTTAAAAATGAATTTCAAATGGATATGTGACATATAGCTGGGCCTCAGAAACACTTTACTAAGTAACAGAAGCCAGAATCAATAGTTTACATTGTACAGATCTATTTGTATAAAATCTATAGGAGCTTGCATTCTGATCGCTAATCTCAGCACTCACAAGGTAGATAAGGGAAGGTTGCAAGTTCAAGGCTAGTCTGGACTACATAATGAAATGGTCTGGAAAAAATAAAAAACTTCTAGAATGAGGCACTATATGGGAGATGCAAATCAATGTAGCCTGGAGCAGGTGGAGGGAGGAAATAGTCTGTAAAGAGATGGGGGGGCTGTTTCAGCAGCAGAAATGCTCTAAAGCTGGATTTGGAGAGACGGCTATACAGAGGTATTTCTACCTTAAAGAAATGTAACATTTAATCTTGCTGTTTTTATGAAAACTGAATAAGCAATATGTATAGGACAGTCCTGACAGTCATTTTCTGCCACATCTGTGGTTTGTTTCCTTCCTGTGACTACCCTACTCTCAGTTCTCTGAGCCCTGGGAAGCTGAGGATGGAGGGCAAAGGTGAACTCTGACCTAAGTTCCTTGATCACTAGGAACCTAGGAGATCTCACATGCACTTCATGGTCAACCAGGAGAAGGTATTAGCAGTGTTTCCTACACACAAGCTCATCACAGAATTGCTGATTACGCTGTGGTCTAGGGACTGGCTTCCAAGTCTGGAGGTGCAGAGGTAGCTCACAAGCAGCTTTTTACACAAGATGCTAAGCTCTTGTCCTTGCAGACCTGTCAACCAATGCTATGATAAAGAACAACGGTCACTTACCAAAAGAAATGTCCGGATTGTTCTAATTTTGTTAAGTTCAAGAAGCAATTTTTGTGCCTTTTCATGATTACTACAATATTCATCGTAGATACGAAACTTGTCTTTCTGTGAATTCAAGACAGAATAAATTAGAATCATTGTATTGCCAGTTTGAAATTTTAACTTGTGTGATAATACATAAACTCTATGAAGGTACTATAGCTTAAGAGGTATACTGTGTATATATATGTTTATTCCCCTCATCCATAAAGTACAGCCTAGGAATGGAGAAGATGTATATATCCCAACATAATGAATGCAATAAAATAATGAGTGAGCCAGGTGGTGTCAAGCACAAAGAAGAAAAGACTTAGCTTTGTCATGAGAATTCAGGCATTGTTTGTTTGTTTGTTTGTTTGTTTAAATGGTATTACCAGGCAGGGTCCAGTGTCAATGAGGCAGAAGAAAGTTATTTCAGACAGAAGGAAAAAAGCATGCACCACAACAGTCGGGATTGTGAAACACAGTATCCTGAAGTTCAGGTTCATTAACATGGGCAGTGGTGTTTAAGAGGGACGTTAAACAAACAGGACAATATTCAGCATCAAGTAAGATAATGGATGACAGACCCTGAAGATACAGCATCTGAATGGTCATTTCATAGAGAGTTGTTAAGATGGAAAAGTTGGGAAATAGTACAATCTACTTTCAAACAGCCATTATTCTGAGAGACATGGATCTTTATGTAGCTCCAAAACAGGACCCTTCAGTGGAAATTGCTGGGGCAGTGATGGACAGATACTGATCAATTCAGAGATATTCTGCTGATTAGAGTTGCCATTAAAAAAATATAAATGGCTGACCTGGTGGCACACACTTTTAGTCCCAGCACTTGGGAAGCAGAGGCATGTGGATCTTTGTGAGAACAAGGTCAACTGGGGCAACAGGGAGACACTGTCTCAAAAAGTCCAAAATATTCTAATTAATTAAAAAAAATAATCTTCAGTTAGAGGGATTTTTTCCAATAAAGGAAGAATCTTATTATCATGATCTCTGAGCTTCCTACCATCTATAGGACTATCTATAAGGTCTGTAAATAACAGCTCTCAAAGCAATCCAATGAAAAGGATGCAAATAATTTATTGATAAAAAAAATCAGAACAGAAGGGTACCCTTTGAAATTTCAAAAACATGTACTTAGAAACATGAAGCACTGTTTTATACAGCCAGCAGAGCCTGTGTTGAATTACTTATCTCAGGAGATGTATCAGAAAAAGAGTAGTGTTCAGAAATAGCTGGGCTAAATTCATGGATGACAGATTCATAATGTGTTACTAAGGATATGGCTGTCAGGGTGCAGAGTTCCCATGTGCAGCCCTGGCCTGAGATAACAGCTCCTTCAGCTGGCCAGAGGGTCTGATTCTTTGCTGAAAGGAAACAGGCTTGAGGAAGTGAACAGAAACAGCAGAGCTTCCAGCCTTTACCAAGAAATGCACAGCTTAATCCACCCAGAACCAAGTAACATCCCGCTTTGACAGAATTATCTTTATGAAATATAGACTACAGAAAGAGCCTGTTCTTTGTGTATAGATAGATCAAGAAAACACATATAAATGACTGAATGGAAAACAAACACAGAGTTTAATTCATGACATAAGACTCTCACCTATGTGTTTAACTGAAACATTCCTTGGGTAGCAGTTTGATATTCTGAAAATTAGCACTGGTAGAATGGTATTGTGGTGGCTTGAATGAATGCCCCCAATAGACTCCAGGTATTTGAACGCTGTTCCCAGTTGGTGGCTGTTTGGGGAAGTTTAGGAGGTATGGCCTTGCTGGAGAATCCACTCATGGAGGGTGGGTTTTTGCCTTGCCCACTTCCAGTTTGTCTTTCTCTGTTTCCAGTGCCTGCCTGAAGGTGTAAGCCCTCTCTTTTCTGCTCTGGCTGACATCTGTCGTGCCTCCCTGCCATGATGGACTTTTATGCGTCTGGAACAGGGAGTCCAATAAACTTCCATCTACCTGCTACCTTGATTATGGTATTTTATCACAACAACAGAAAAGTAACCAATATGGGTACCAATGGTGATACTTTCGAAAACAGGTGGCTTTTTACTTTGCAAATCGAATGCATAATTCCTCATGAAACTGATCACACAGGCACAGGATGTGTGTTTGAGAGAACTGAACCCCTGCCACTTATTCCTTCTGCACTGTTCAGAACAAACATCTGAGAAGCCACCCTTGAGGAAAATTCAGCCACAGGAACCCAGGGTTTGTTCACCTCTAGGTTTGTCTCCAGCCAATTAAAAAGGGAACATTCGGACCAATGAGAAAGGCTTGCAGTGCCATTATAAGACTGAGGATTTTCTGCCTCAAAAGAAAAATGCTCTAGGTTTGCGAGAAACATAAAAATCCATTCATTATGAAACAGGCTGAATATTCATTAGAATTCAAAGCTACAGAGGATGCGAAGAACTAACTTGTCAGGAAAAAGAAAAGGCTGTTTATCCTTCTCTGACTGAAATGGATGATGAGAGATGCCCTCCCCTTTCTGGCTTCAAAGGCATGATTTCATTGGCCTCAAAAAACCCCAAACTTTCGGTGTCAAACTTTACTTTTCAGGCTGAATTCACACATACTACTCCGCCAGGATACAGCCCTTACAATCAAGGGAGAAACAGTATTCAAATAAACAGAAAAGAAAATCTTACAAAATGAAGAAAGCAGGTTCCCACTTCTTGCTGAGCATTCGGTTCAGGATGTAAGCATTCTTCTACAACTTTCAAGAATTCTTTATGTACTGCAAGGATATCTTCAATATTAGAGAACAACATCTGTAAAAATACATAGCAAATAAATTTGATAAGTACAGTAGTGAAGCAAATTTGAAAAATAAAATGTCCCTGGATGTACAGCATTCCTTTCTCTCACCTGGCAAACAGAACAGTACTTCTCTACTCCCACCCAACTCTGGGGACCAGGATACTATGCAGGAGCTCAGGACAAAGCCTCAGGGGACAAATCCCAGCCTGAGAACCCCTCCCTCTTCCCAGGAGGACTGCAAATAAAAGCACAGGCAGATTTGCCAGCAGCCTTGTGAAGGAAGTGTATCTTAGACCCGATGAAGGGCATCCTGGAATAGGTCACCCTTCCTCCCTTTCCTCCCACTGGCAGGCGCCTTGCATGTGGAAGTGACAAGTAGGTCCACTACAAGGTTCTGGCATGGCTGGAGCCAGCTCCAGGACAAAGCTGGTAATCCTGATGAGAGAGTGAGGCTCAGGAAAGGACCTGGCAGCACCCCTTTCCCACAAACCCCTGCACAGAATCTTTTCTTCCATCTGGAGTCCCTAACTTATGAACGTGTTTAAGTACATCTGATACATAGGTTGCTTTTCCTTGCAACAAAAAGCTTGCTAACTAAATTTCCCTGTGGCAGAAAAAACTAAAAGTTGAATATATAACCTATAAGGAAACAGAATCTGAAGCACCTAAAACATCCCTATTTATTATTATTATTATTATTATTATTATTATTACTATTATTATTATTGAGACAGGGTCTTTCTGTAGCTCTAGCCCCAGATGGTCTGGTACTCACTATGTAGACCAAACCAGACTGGCCCATCTCATAGAGATCTACCTGCCTCTGCCTCCTGAGAACTGGGATTAAAGGAGTGCACCACATAACCAGCTCCTTATTATTTTTATTAGTAAAGTAAAACAGTAAGTTAGCATCATCAATAGCCACTACAGAAAAATAAATTTTCATTTACCATCCTTTACCTTTTTTCCAAAACTCTTCATAACTTTTCCTATGTGGTATGTGTGTATGTGCTGGGGATTGAACTCAGAGCCCCCTGAAGCATCTCTGCAATCCTGGTTATATTATCTGTACCCCTGAGCTGGTGCCTTTTATATTTGCACAGTGACTTAATAACCATCCCAGGGCATACGCTACCAGAAAGCCACATCGCAGACCCTTTCCCTATATCTTATAAGAAATACTTATCCATTTGCTCTGGGGTTAAAGATGTTATATGGCCCTTTTCTGTACCTCAGTTATCGATCCAAGTCTTGGTCTTTGGTGATCACAGAGACTGGAGTCCCCATATCCCCATACCTTCTTGAAACACTAGCAACTGTCTCCCACTTCACCCAGCTTCTTCCCACTCACAGACACTGAAGCTCTTGCTCTTATTTCTTAAGTTTATTTTTCATCTTTTCAATGTTTATATGCTCCTGGTTTAAAAAGAAAATTTCTATGACAAGTAAACCACCTTCTTACCTTCCCTTTGTTTTCTAAAACTCTAGCTTCCCTCTTTCAAATTATTATCGACACAAGTGACTTTTACAGGAACTCATAGTGCAACTGAGGGTAAACTGAAGGATCCTGAAGGAACACCTCACAGGCACAAAGCTCTCTACAGAAAACTGGAGCCCGGTGCAAGGGCTAATTGGGCCCATTTACCTTCACTGTTTCCTCCGTTACATTTTTGTCAATTTTTGCTGCTGCACACTGGTTCATGCGATGTAAGAATGCCTGTGTGAAATAAGAAGAGACATTACGAGAGTAATGTTAGCTTCATGAAATGACCGGGTATTGATCAGAATGAAATGAAAAAGCCTTACAAGAAGCCAAAGTTTAAGAGTGTGTCTGGCAGAGCATACTTGCAATCCCAGCACTCAGGGGGCAAAATCAGCAAGTTTGCTTAGCCGGCAAGATCAGCCTAATCCATGCAAGGAGTTCTAGACTAGCCAAGGTTATATGATGAGACATTGTCTGAGAGAGCGAGAGAGTGAGAGAGTGAAAGAGCGAGAGAGAAAGAAAGAGACAGAGACAGAGACAGAGGCTAAAGTTTAAAACTCCAGTAACGGAGTACAATAGTTTTGCTGTAACACATGAAATCTTTGTACACTGCTGTCCCTGCTTGAGAATTATACTTCCTCTATAATGTTGAGGCAGAGACAAAAATGATCAAGACAGTATAATTTAAATTTATCTACCTAGGTGTCAGAATTCTAGGATAAACATTTAGAAGCAGGTGTTTCCTAATTTCAAGTGCTCCAGAGCACACAAAAAAAATCTAATGAAAAAATGCTATTTCTACTACAAAGAAAGCATTCTTAGTACAATGAGGGAGAGAGACAGAGACAGAGACAGACACACACACATACAGAGACAGACACACACACACACACACGTACACACACAGGCTAGTAACTAATTTCAGAAGGATCCTTTTCCCACTTCTGTATCACCACATTTTTAGGAAGCTAAAATTAAAATTTCTGGGTTCAGGACAGAGTTCTCCATTGCCCCACGGTAGGTAAAAAATCCTTCAAGACTGAAGCTCAGGCAGGCACAGGGTATTGTTCAATGGTAGAATAATTGCCCAGCATGAGGTGGTAGGGGTTAAGCTTAATAGTCATTAAGCTTTCACTGAAGGCCAAATACAGATGAATGCTTGATACACAGTGATCCTTAAATGAGAAAGTTTAGAAAGAAGGGACAAAGGAAAAGGAACTTTCTACCTAGCAAATTTATGTCCTCAAAACATTATTCATTAACTACCCAGTGCCCACATAAGATTGCTCCTAGGACTGGGGACATTGCTCAGCTGTAGATGATGGATGAGAAGCCCTGGGCCAAATCCCCAGCATCACACAAGGAAAAAAACATCTTCTCTCCCCCTTCTCTGCCTTAAGAATTCTGCCACCACCTGCCAAATGAAGGTGTGATCACTTCCCAAGGCGCACAGAAGTACAGGAAACCTCTAGCTATGAAATTACAGAAAGAATCATCATCTTTAACATGTTACAGTTAAAGATTTAAGAGATTAACAAAACCTGAGGATGTTCAAGAAATTAGCAAACTGAGTTATGGGCAGTTGATGGCTTCTGGGGAAGCAACAGTCTGTTTCTTTAGGGGAGTGGTAAGTCAACCATGCTCCAATGGGTGGCCTACACCCAAGAGTGTATGGGCAGCACAAATTGGAGTTAATAGGTTATTAAAAACAAAAACAAGAGGGCATAACATTGGGAGGGGGGTTGGAAGAGGTTAGGGGGAGGAGTTGGAGTTAAATAAGACCAAAAAATAAAAATAAGATAAAATAAATATGACCAAAATACATTGTACAAAGTTCTCAAAGAATAAAAATACTTTTGAAAAGGAGATTAAAAAGCTAAGATTGCTCATAATGTTACAAAATTATCACCCTCAAGGCATCACTGGTAAGAGTAATGAGTGGCATAACAGTTCTGAAGGCACCTTAAAATGGGCTTTTCCTTTTATCCAGGAATGCTACTTTTAAGAATTTGTCCTGGGAATATATCTTGACAAAGAGACTTACTAGTTACAAAAGTAATAAAATTGGAAACAACCTAAAGACTCACCAATAAGGGAACCATGAAGGTACACTGCAGTGCCTTCATATATAGACTACGATGGAAAAATGCAGTGAAATGTACTGGGAACGATGTCCATGCATAGGCACACATACATCTGTATGCATGAGAGATGTTCATGAACAACTGTCTAGTGAAAATAATTTATTAAGTGACACACTTGATATGATACATACACATTGCAAACACATTCATGGAAGTGCAAATATCTATACACATGTGTCATGTCAGTATGTGTTAACACTGAAAAAAAGTGGGTTGCATACACCAAAATTGCAAAAAGCAGTTACTTCTCGCTAGGTGCCATGAAGAAGACCACTGCGTACTGCTTTCTGAATAGTTTGCTATGAGCATCTCATTACTTTTGTTTTAAAATTTCTTTTTAAACAAAATCAAACCAAAAAGCCCCATAGCATCAGTTTCAGCACTGATGGAGTCCTGATTCAGCTGGTTTATGTCTTAGAGTCCAAAACTACAGAGCTACAGCAAAATAATCATCCTAAAAAAAAATCCCATACATCCACTGCATTAAATAAAACAAACAGGAAACTACCGAGCAAAATCTTCATTTTTCTTATAAATACGATATAAAATTTAACTATTTCCTGAAGTTATACATAGTTGGCGATGGGGTAAAAAGATTTTGAATATTCTAACTTTAAGTACCAATTTTAATTAGTATTATTCTGTTTAATTTTTAATTTCAAGTTTTTCTTGAGTACTTTCCAAACACTCACCCCCAAATGATCCTTAGCTGTTTCTATTTAGCTTTAAAGCAACATAGATGTTTTACTTGCCTAGTTAACATTTCACATTGGCCACATAGTAAACAGGCAATCTCTCGTGCAAGAGAAACTTAAACTTCACCTCTACAGCTATAAACTTTTTCTTAATAAACAGAGCCCAGTCACATTCTGAAACCAATAAACGAAATCTTGGAAGTAGTAAAACTGAATCAAAATAGGAATCAGAAGGGAACATACACACTTAGTATACCACCTCGATATCGCACGTTTATCTTCTTATCCTCCATGGCAATGTGGAATATGTTGTTTAACTGTATAGGAAAGGAAAGCTGGAACTCGATAGCATGTCTAACCAAGCATTCATTACCCAAGGGCCTCATTTTGTAGAACAGTGAAGGCAGGCTTTACAGGGCTTAGTGGAAATGCGCAATCATGAAAACCGCCTGGCATTTTTTTACAAAAAAAGAAAAGTTTGTCTTCTTTTCTGAAGATAAAAATAAGTTCTTGGTGGAAGATGATTATCTTTTAACAACCCGTGTCTACAAAGTCCCCTTGGACTTGGGTAAGTGGGCATTAAACCCTTCTCATATCAAGGAAGCATTAGCAAGCCAGTCACAAAAATATGGGAGGGATTTGACACACTTTTATATCTGCATTTACTCGGTCCACAGCTTCGTTGGAATTAGATATTTTTTACCATGACAAGAATACATTTGAAAATAAGGCCTAGAAAGCAGCATTTAATGCCAGTGATCCTCAAACATTCTGCTATGTTTAAGATTTGGGAAGTCTAAATGCAGGCGCCAATCCCTATTCCTGGAAGTCCTGAGAAGACCTACTGGTTTGGGATACAAAAGTCTGGGCTACGAATGGACTCCCCCGTGATCCTGATAAAGCAGATCCGGGAACCACCTTTTGATGGGCATTTCTTTGTTTATTCTTCCACAGACTGCCAATAACAGAGCCAGAGAAACTCCTTCATGAAGCACAGTGGGAAACCAGGTTCACTTATTTCACCCTTACCTTCTGTTCAACATCTAATAATGATCATCTTTATATCACCCCCTCGCCCAACCACTTGGAGTTTGGGGTAACCTGCCAGGAGATGTTACCCCCATGAGAATCAAAAGATGAGTTCCACAAACCTCACTGCAGAGTTGCAGACAGGCGGTCAGATAAGATAGACTAAGCCATATTTGGAGCAGGTCAGATTACCGGTAGCCGCTGCATGGGCCTTACAGCTCATACATGTGTGAGCAGACTTCCTTCAGCGGCACTCCCCTAACAACACGACCACACATCATGTTCCATGATGCCAATCTAGTGATGGGCTACTTTTCTCCCAAAGGGTGAATAATTCATTTTCTCTTTAACTTGCTCCAAGTTTGTTTCCCTTTTGTAGCATGTTAGGTGAAAGCACAGGTTAAATGGCAAAGGTTAACCAAAGTTTAATAACACCACAAGTGCCATAAATTTGCTACTAGGAGATCAAAAGAAGGAAGAAATCATTAAGATAGGAGAGACAGATAAAAAAGTCTCTTCCTTGTTTGCTTAACTGTGCTGCTACTAGTCCAACAGCTAGCAAAGTTTCACTCTTGGAATGAAGTTTTGTTTTATAATTTCAATGCTCTAAATGGACCCTTCAACTCCTTTTTGTCCTTCCCACTCTTCATCAAGCAGATACACGACTTACCCTCAAAAGTCCCACAGACATTGTTAATAGTTTACACTTTACACTTTTCATTCTAGATACTTACTGTTAATCTGAATTTCACAGAGTCATGTAAGAATTAAGTCTTTGTACTCTTACAAATATAGCACACTTAGAAATATCTTAGCATCATACTGTCACCTTGAAAATGTGTCTATTAAATAGAGATGAATGTATTTCATATATAAAGATGAAAAGAGAAAATTTCATGACAGCTCATACTGTTACAGGGAAAAGGTGTACTCATTCTATGAAAATAAATGTAAAAAACCATAAGGGTAAATATTTCTCTTTGGCCTTTTGATTTTTTTAAAATTGAAATAATGGGGCTGGAGAGATGGCTCAGTGGTTAAGAGCACTGGCTATTCTTGCAGAAAACCCAGGTTTAAATCGCAGTATCCACATGGTGGCTAACAACCATCTGTAACTCCAGTTCCAGGGGATCTGATGCCCTCTTCTGTCTTCTAAAAGCATTGCATGACATGAGTACACTTATGCACATGTAGGCAATACACTAATACGCATAAAATAAAAATAAATTTTTTAAAAATTGAAACAATATTATCGTATCTCAACTCTTAGGAAGATAAATAATATTTGTTTTGCTTTCCTAAGAGAATATAAAAATCTTTTTTCTATTTTATTTATTATTTTTATTTTATGTGTATGAGTGTATTG